GGAACACGTCTATTTGAATTATGCAACGTGTCGGAGCTGATGGACAAACTGTAAAGCAGTTAATGATTTATCGGTTGGCAGGGCTCCCAGTAAAATGCCAAGTGTATTTGTGTGCCAGTCTGAGCTGCACCGACACCAGGAGAAAACGTGCGTGACTGTTTCCGCGGCGGTTGGCCTCCGAGAGGGTTGAGTGGCGCGGCCCAGTGAGCGGTGGCAGAGGCCACTCCTTGGTTATGGAGAGGGTGGCTGGGGGCCAGGCGTGTAAAATGCTCAGGACTTTCCCTTCACCCCAGTCAGGGCGCCAAGTGCCATCATTAATGTTGCTTTTTGAACTAAACTGTGACCTTTACATTTTTTATTCATAATTTTGTTCTTTTCTTGGTTTGAGCATTTATGCCCAAGCAACTCTGGAGGCACTGGTTTCAAGAAGCAAGTGAGCACATTTTGATTATTACAAAATGAACATTCTCTCTGCCCCCATCGTAATTCATTGACTCAATAAAAGTGATCGGTTTAGTAGCATGTGTTCAAATTAAGGCTTTGTGTTTTCTGTAAATTGAAGGAGTTACATTTGATCAGAACTGTGGTTAAATTTTTTAAAAATTACTTTTTCCACCTCCATTTATTCCCCCTATATCCTCTTGCACCCCCTCCTCCCCCCGCAAGTGGGTGCATTAGTATGCAGTTCTAGTGACTGCGTGGGAAAGTGAGCTGCAGCGAGGGAGAGCGCTGGCTGCTGAGGCGGCCGCAGGAGCAGGTCAGCATTTATATTCAGCTCTGCGTCTGCCCCACAGCGCGTCAGTGGTGTGTGCAGTGGACTTTCCATTTGACAGATTTGGAAACTGAGGTTCAGAGCGGTCTCCCGCGGGGAAGTGGCGGGGTTTCCTCGCCTCCAGACCTGTGCTCTTCCCCGTGGGGCCCGCGCTGCTTCCAGTGGAGAGGTTGCCGTCCCTGGCAGTTCTGGAAGCTTCCTCGTGGTCCCTCTGCACCTGTTTCCCGTGCAGGTGCACCTACTCATGCTCATTGAACTCCCCTGAAACCATAGCTACATCACAGGGGACACTGGTGGTCACAGGTGTGCTTGTCAGACGCACTTGAAGAGTTGCTCTTGTTTCCGTGATTTCTGCTCCTGGGGCCCCTCCCGAGTCTGCACGGAACCAGAGCGCCTGGAGAGGGCAGTTGTGGGGATGCAACCAGAGGAACGGGGGGCATGGTGTGAGGGACCTGCAGTGTCAGTGTGTGTGGGGGGCTGGGAAGTGCCTGCTCCATGGCTCCCAGGCTTCCAGACCTGCCAGGTGGTCCGAGTACAGTTGATGGGTTTTGGCCCCTTTAAGGACATTCCAGTCCTCAGGAAGGACACCGGTTACATGGATTACACTTAAACTGGTATCTCCAAGTCTCGGGTCTGCTGGGAGCAGCACATTTATACTACGTAGCAGTCCCTCATTTCTGATGTGGGTCACTATTGTTTTCTTGACACTTTTGTCTTCCTTCTCATCCTTCTAATCATCATGGCTGTGGAGACGGGGGTGGCGAGTACATCCGACACCCCCCGGTTCTGTAGGCCAGGGCCTTAGCTGGTTGTAGGTTCTGTCCCTGGCTGGGTGGGGGTGGGGGGCTGGGCTGTCAGCTCCGGTGCTGGGGCTCACCACTGGCTCACCCTCCCAGGAGTGCAGGCTCTCGCGTCAGAGCTTATCAAACTCTTTGTTGTGATGGTGGTGTTAATCCTCAACGAGGATATTTTTCCACTTTTAGAGAGAGTGAAAGGGAGGGGTGGAGGGAGGGAGGGAGAAACATTGATGTGAGAGAGACACATTGATTGGTTGCCTCCTGCATGCGCTCTGAACAGGCCTGGGAACAAACTTGCAACCCAGGCATGTGCCCTTGATTGGGAATCGAACCCCCGGCCCTTCAGTGTCCAGGCTGACACCAGGGCAAAGCGCTTACCAAACGCTTGCTTGCTTGCTGATATTCCATCGGCCAAAGAAGTCACATGACCAAGCCTAGAGTCAGTGGGTGAGGGGCCTATATAAGGGTATGGTTACCAGGGGGCGCAGTGGTGAGGGGGGAGGTCTTTAACAGGCTAGCACAGTGGGGTTAGGGAGTGGAGGGCGGGGCTTGTTTTGCCAGCTGTAAATGACAGCTGGTGTTTATAGTTTACTCTCTTATGCATTGGGACTCAGTTTGATGAGCATTTATTTGGTTCTGGATGCTGGGAATTCAAAGAATAAAGCAATCTCCGGCTACTCGGAAGCTAGTTCATAAAATACTCCTAATCTCACAAGTGAAGCAGAAAGCGTCCTGCTAAGACTTAGTTGGGCTTAGGTAACACGGGCAGGAGCTGCTCACGCGGATCGGTGCCGGGGCCCATGGTGCTGCCAGAAAGCGCCGCTGGGTCCTTGGGAAGAAATGGGCTGCTATGATGACTTGGCGTTGGCCCTGCAAGCTGTGGTGACAACAGAATCACCAAGGAAACCAAAAGATGCAGCTTCTGAAAGTCCCTGGAGGCGTTTGTTATGTTATCTGGAACCCGACTGGCCTAGAAGAGCTGGGTGGGAGCACATGCGGGCTCGCTGTGCGTCCAGAACTTCTAGGGTCCCGTGCTCGGGGCTTTGGGTGTCTCCTGCTTGGCCTTGTGTGCAAACAGGAGAGGTTTGGAGTGCTTTCTAGGGTACGGAGATGCGGCTCTGTGATTGTGCTGCTGGAGAACAGGAAATGAGGTAATGTCTTGTAAGGTCCTGTTGCACGAACTTAAATGCCTAAATATGGGCAGCTGAGCCCTCACTGCAGTCACGGAGCGGAGCGGAGCTGCGGGATAATTGGTGCTTCCGCGGCGGCCCCTCGGCCTGCCGGGAGACGTCAGTGCGAGTCTGGGAAGGTTCCGTGTGAAGCTGAGCCGGCTCCAGCCTCCAGCTCAGGCCCAGGAAGAGGTTGGAGCCCTTACCCAGCAACCAGCCGGCGAAGCTCGCCGCGGGAGCTCAGTTGTCAGAGCGAGAACTTGTTCTTTCGGGAAACTCTGAAATCACTTGATGAGGAGTTAAGTCCAGCCCATAAAAGTTTACACTGTTCGTACCTTTTTGCAGATGTGTACGTGCAATGTTCAGTTTTTCAGTGTGTCACTATAACCATGAATGTATGGAGGATCAAAAGCAGTTGAACAATAATTAAAAGAATTAGAGATTTTTATTTTTTAATTAATCAATTAATTTTTTATTTTTTAAATCAATCACCTGAAGATATGTATATATATATATATATATATAT